CAGGCGGGTCTCGAACCCGCGGGCTCAGGCAATCCACTCACCTCAGCCTCCCAAAGGCGCAGGATTACAGGCTGAGTCACCGGGCCTGGCTTAGATTGTCTTTGCTGTCTGAAGGTTGCTCAGGACAGATCCATGGGGTCTAGGTCCTTGTAACTCTGGGAAGCAGAGGATAGCCCTGAAATACACTCAGTGCCATCTGGCCCTTGATCTCTAGGTGACAGCCTCAAAACCCCTGTTACTACTCTGCCGGCAGACATTGTATTGGAGGACACTCAACCCTTCTCCCAGCCCTTGGTTGGCTGTTCCCCCAGTGTGCATCACTCCTTGCCCTGCCCCTCTCAAACTGAGGCTGAAGATGCTAGGAGGACTGCCTGCCATCGGACATGGAGCAGTGGGCCTGGGCTGCAGAACAACAGTGAGTATGTGGAGCAGGTTCCTTGGAGTCAAGTTTAGCTTGGATGAGAGTTAGCAGTGGTGATTTTCTCTCCTCAAGCTCATATATGTGTCCTTAGATCCGATGGGATGTGGATCCTTCCTTCATCCAAGAACAGAGTCCTTGTTGGGCCAGAAAACTGCAAATCTGCATATTAGTTCTGCCTTTAGCTTTGTCCCTCCTCAGTGGAAAGGGCTGGGTTTACTAGTCTCTTTATCCTTGTCAGCCTTGGTCTGCTTCTCCAGCCTATATTCTCTCCCCTTTATTCAGGCCCTGGGAAACCAGGCCAGTTTCTGACAGGAACGGCAGAGGAGGTTGATGCCTTTGCTCTGGGCTTTCCAACCACCAGCAGTAGTGTCCCTGTAGAAGATGGAGTACAGATCTTACAGGATGGAGTTGGTGAGGAGGCAGAGAACAGAATAGAAGACGATGCCTTGAGTGTGAGTGACGTGAAGGAGGCAACAGGAGTACAAGAACATACTAGGGCAGAAGAGCCTGAGGGCCACACAGAGGTGACAGAAGCAGAGAGATCAGAAGCCGATCTCTCTGTTGAAGATGAGGAGCCAGAAGGATCTTCAGGGATTAAGGACACCTCTGGCAGGACAGGTCAGAGACCTAGTGCGAGGATTAGGGGGTCACTGGTGACAGCTATGTTCAGGTCCTAGCACACAGAAAGTGTTTGTCTGAGTCGTGTTTCTGGGCACTGATGGTGTTAGAGGGCTGGGGAGATTCTGAGGAGCACCCACTTGGCTGGAGCCAGGGGGGGCCCCTGAGAAACAAGACAAGGAGACTGGACCTGCAGAACTGGGTGAGATGGTCAGGCCTGAGCTTCCTGTGACCCTACCCTTCCTTTGCAGCAAGTCCAGAGTTGACCTCCAGCATTCCTGAGTTTCTCCAGACCAAGCAACTTCATCAGTTTCTTGAGCCAGCCCTACTGCCTAGTGCTACAGTGTAAGATCCTACCACCTTATGGGCCTCTTGGGAAGAGAGCAGGCACTGAGGTTGGCATTGGGTACCCCATGTACATAGGGTCATCCCCCTTCCCACAGGTGTGCACATGATTACCCAGGAAAGCAGCCTAAGCTGGGCTGGGGAGGGTTCACTGAGAGCACATCTGTCATCCTGATGCTTGCCTCCAGGTGATTAGAGGAACTTGGGTGAGGGGGAGGTGCCTAGGTCAGTATGTAGTCAGAGAAGGCTTCCTGGAGGAAGATTAGCAGAAATCTGGACAGGCATCAATAGACCAAGGGGAGAGAACGTCCATTCTGAGGCTTGGGGTCATGGGTCTAAGCAAGTACCAGTGATGATGAGAGGAAGTACCAGATGATGAGACTAAACTAGGATGTTGGGCCGACTGTGGAAGAACAGGACCCCAGGGGAAGACCAGGCCTCTAATGGTACTCTGACCCCACTGACCTTCAGTAGATAATTGGAGCTGCTGGTCCAGGCTGGCCAAAGAGCACATGGTTCCCAGTCTCAACAGAAGCCAGCAAGACTTGTCCTTAAATAGGTGTGTCTTCAGGTAGTAGTTCAACTACCTCTGTCCAATCCTGCCCCTAGCTTATCTTCAGAGCCTCAGTTGGCCAAGCCCCCTAGGCCCCGAACTACTGGCCCCAGGCCCCGTCAAGATCCCTACAAGGCTGGACTGAGCCACTATGCAAAACTCTTTAGCTTCTATGCTAAGATGCCCATGGAAAAGAAGGCTCTTGAGATGGTAGAAAAATGGTGAGTCCTGGACACTCGGGGTGGGGAGAGGAGCCCCTCAGGTAGGTCATGATCGACTGTTCAGTCTGCTCTATATCAACATTCTTGGCAGCCTAGATAAGTATTTCCAGCATCTTTGCGATGACCTGGAGGTATTTGCTGCTCATGCTGGCCGCAAGACTGTGAAGCCAGAGGATCTGGAGCTGCTGATGCGACGGTGAGAGGGCAGGAGCAGGGAAGGTCCTGGTTGTGAGAGTGCTGGTACTGATTGCGCCTGTCCCTTCTCTTCCTTTGCTGTAGGCAGGGCCTGGTCACCAACCAAGTCTCACTGCATGTGCTTGTGGAGCGGCACCTGCCACTGGAGTACCGACAACTGCTCATCCCCTGTGCATTCAGTGGCAACTCTGTCTTCCCTGCCCAGTAGTGGCCAGGCTTCAGCACTTTACCTGTCCCCACTGGGGCCCCTTGGCCCCGCATACTCCTCTGGGTCTCCTCCCTGCCTCCCAGTATCAATAAAGTGTCACAAACAGAATATTCTGTCTTTTGGTGCATGTCAGGGTGCCAGCTAGGCCGAGACTGATCCCCCTTCCCTCAAGTACAGCCTGGAGAGTGGTATCGGCTCAAACAATTTTATACTAAAACTCAGGAGTAAGTAGTACTGGAGCACTTAGGTTGCTCGCAGTGGTCCTAGCTTGCAGGCTCTGGCTCTCGAGGTCCCATGCGCCTGATGTCAATCACTTGAAGCCGTTCCAGTGCTGTCTGAAGGCCTACCACAATGCCTGCTTCCATCTCATCGCCCTCCTCTGGCAGTTCTGATACTGGGAGCTGGAAGGCCTGGCTCATGTAGGTGTTCACAGTCTGTTTGTCCAGGCTAGAATCGGTATTCATCAGGGCCCTACGCAGCTTGGACAGGTTCACCTCATCATGGCTGTCCCACAAGAAAAGAGAGATTAGCTTAGACCCCTTCTTTCTGTGCCCCAGACTCCCAAGTGTCATCCTCCTTTCTGCTGCGCTTGAGCAGTGGTACCCAGCAGTATGCTCAATGCATAGGGAGACCCATGGGCTTGAGGTGCCACCTGTGGCCCTGCCTGTGGGATGATTGGGCCTGTAGGTCCCATGGTCACTCACAGTTCCAGGCCTAGCTCCTTTTTTAGATCATGTAAGTAGTTGTCCTTCTCATTCATGTATTGTTCCCATAGCTTTTGCACAAAGGGCTCACTCTGGCCCTCCTCATCCTGGAATGGGCCACAAGTCAGAGTAAGGACACATTGACCAGGGTCCATCCAAGGCTGGGGTAGGGCCCAGTGAGTTATTGGACCCATCCACTCACCTCCATAAACAATGAGCGGTAGTTGAGCAAGTCCGCATCGCTGCTCTTGGGATGCCAGCCTCCTGCCTCCATCAGTTCCTGAATTTGCTCTTCTTTTTTGAGAGGGAAGGTATTCTTGAGGATAGTGCTGTGGGGAGACATGAGGGCCAACAGAGGGTCTACGCAGGCCTGCCCACCCATCTCCCTCGTATTCAAGAGGGTGGTGAGTGTTGAGGCTCTGGCCTTTCCTGCCAGGCCCCTCTTCTCCCTGAAGACCCAGAAGCAGCTGGGCAGGAGTTAGAGGTGGTCTAGACTGGCCTCTCACCTGAACTGCTCCATGGTTAGTAGCCCCTCATTCTGAGTGTCAACATTTGTCATATCCTTCAGCAGCTGGGCTATTGTCTCCTTCTGGTTGACATACACACTCTCACTCCACTATAGGGAAGGAAGTATTCACTGATCTGCTGCTTTCTTGAGTAGGGGTAGGACTGAGCTACAGTGGAGACAAAAGCCCCTGTCTCCCTGAAGGGAACAGGTGGAGGCCAACCCAAGCTCACCTTTCCCATCAAGACTGCATAGAACTGACTCATGACCTCACTGGAGCGGAAGAGCTTGATATTCTCAAAAATGGTATAAGCCCAGGCTATGGCATCACTGGGTCCAAAGCGATGCTCCAGGAAATTAAAGAAGAAATCTGGAAACTTTTCTTTCTGCAAGGTGGGAGGAATGCTTGCTCAGTCTGTCCTCTTCTTCCCTGAAACCTCAAGGGGACCCTCAGAGGACTCTGTATCTGAGAGCCACACTGGGCCATCATGTCTGGTGAGGTCTGACCTGCTCCTCTGCGAGACGTTCCTTCCAGGCATCCTTGAGAAGGTTTATCACCTCTTTCTTGGTTGGCTTCTTGTTCTCCACAAGGCCTTCATACTGAAGAAAAGTGGGGATGGCTTCCCCATAGCCCTAGAAAGGAGGGTGTCAGCACATCTCTGAGCCCATCTGTGGTCCCACCCCCAAGCAGAGAAGGTTCCCCAAAGGCTCAGGTCTCAGCAGCAAAGTGTGGCTATTCTGACTCTGCCCCAAGCCCCCTACCAGAGCAGGGAAGAAGTCTTTTTCCCGCAGAAGACCCTCGCCAATCTCTTCCAGAAGCACATCCACCAACTGGTCACTGTTCTTTCCCTCAGCCAGCATTTGCCAGCGTTCTAGGCCCCCAGCCACCACATCTGCAAATGGGGAGAGGGAGCTGGAATCCAGACCATGTACTTCAGCAGGCTGGGGGGCCCCCATGGCCATCATTACCTTTGCACTTGCTCCAGTCAGGCCGTGGTGTGGAGGTGCGCTGGATCTCCTGCAGCTCGGAAAAGAACTGATCCCGTTCCTTTAGTGTGCTCACGTGTAACTGAAGCAAGAGCTCATGCTCCTTGCGGACCTCTTCATAATCAGCTCTCAGGCTGTCCAGCTGTGGGCAAAGTGATTGATCTTAGCTACCCACCCACATGACCCTACCCCACCCTGTCTGGTCCTGCCTGCCCACCAGCACCTGCTCCTGAAGATCCCTGTTGGTCTTCTCCTGCATTTCAAAGTCCCTCCTGGGTACCACATCTCCAAAGTTGGCCTTCATGGTGTTGAGTTCCATCTGTGTGCGGGTCAGGTCTTGCCGGGCCGTCTTCAGAGCCAGTGTTAACTTCACAGGGTCCTCCCCCCAGACGCCTGCCAGGAGGCCCACCAGCCCATGTCACCCTGGTTCTGGGGCCTGCAGTCCAGGGCTGGGTTAGAGTATCCCTCAGAGGATGCTGTAGGTCCTTCTGCCCTTCCTACTTGGGGTTCCTTGGGTCTTGCCCACAATGCTACCAGCCTAGAGTTTCAAACTTAAGTAGAAAAGTCCAGGATTTGGGGTACCAGGCCTGACCAGCTCACAGGGGGTCTAGGCTGCCTCAGCTGCCAGCAATTTTCCTACACTTCTCAGTTCAGCCCAGAAGATCCAGTCTCAAGTGGGAATAGGGATATCTGCCATGGATGGTTATGGAATAAGCAGATGCTAGGAATGTTGAATGAATGAGGGGGATGGGGTGACAGCCAGACTCTTTTGTCGATGAGTACCTCAGGAGAGGAGAGAAACTCGACTCTGGCTTACCTGGGGACTGGGCTAATGACATGTCTTCCCGCTGGTACCGTAACTCATTCAGGTCTGCAATGAGGATCTTGCGGGCATCTCGTTCGGTGAGGTAGTGCAGGTACTCCTCAGCCAAGTTCTTCCTCAGTTTAGTCACCTGTTAGGAAGGCAGCTTTGTGGTTAGGGGCTGCCTCTGGACCCCTGTATGCAGCTAGTTGCCACAGGATGGGTTGGGTGGTCCCATCAGGGCCTGTGAACAGGAAAAGTGGAGGAAGAAGAAGGAGATTGCCCATTCCTGAGAATTCAGCAAGATGCCAATGCCTTCTCCTGTGGAGAAAGTGCTGGAACCTAGGGCCACACTGAGCCAGTGTGGAGCCAAGCAGAAGGGTAGAGGGTGGAGGTAGCTCAGTGTGTCTTTCCCTGCAGAAGGGTGGAGGGAATAGGGAGTCACCCCTGTGCCCAAGGTCTCAAGGTCACCCTTGTGATGGGGTAGGGCAGGAATTCAGGGATGTGGTCACCATACCACTTCCATTCACCTCACTCTGCAATGAGATCTTCTCTTCATTCTTTTTGTCGATGAGTTTTAACAAATTCATCTTCTCTTTCTTGAGCACAGAGATTTCATATTTCTCCTCAGCCCTCATGGCCAGGATCCTCTCATTGCAGTCCTCATTCACAGTGACAAGCTTGGCCTTCAGGGGTTCTAGAGCCCGAATCTTCTCCCTTTGGTGGGCTAAACAGTAACAGGTAGAAAGTTTCTTTGGGGCCATGAAGAACAAACAGCCAGGAGACACAGACTCTAAGGTCATCTGTGTATGCCTTGTTCAATCCATGGTACCTGCTTCAGGCCTTCTCGCACTTGCTTTTAACTCTGGAGCAGAAGCTGGGCATGGGGACTCACGCCTATAATCCCAGCACTTTGGGAGGCTGAGGTGAGAGGATTGCCTGAGCCCAGAGGTTCAAGACCAAGTTGACCTCCTCTCTACAATAAATCATTAATAAAAAAATTCCTGGGTATGGTGACACACACCTATAGTTCCGGCCACTTGGAAGGCTAAGGCAGTAGGATTGCCTGAGCCCAGCAGGTCGAGGCTGCAGTGACTGTGAGTGTGCCACTATATTCCAACCTGGATGACAGAGTGAGATTCTGACTCAAAAATAAAAATAAATAAATAAATAGCAGAGTTTAGATTAGGACCAGGGTCTCTCCTATGTCCTTTTCAATATAGCCTCGAATTCTGCAGCTGCACCATACTTTGTACTTCCTGAGCCTGGTAGGGGAAGCCTGCTCACTTCCTAGAGGTTCTTACTCTCCTGGGGTTCACTCTGTTTCCTATAAATACTTCCCCACCATGCTCCTCAGGGATGGGAGGTGGTCAGGTGCCCTAGAGGGAGCTTATCGCAGAATAGCATTTGTACCAAGTCTAAGCGGAGCTGGGTGACCTCAGGACCCAGTTAGTAGCTGCCCCAGCCCTGCTGTGGAGCCCCAGGAGGTTAGAATAGGGTCTTCTCTGCCACTTTCAGGCTGGACCCAGAAGGAGGGTTGCATTCTTTTCTTTTCTTTTTTTGAATTGGAGTCTTACTCTGTCGCCCAGGCTGGAGTGCAGTGGCACACTCATGGCCACCCCAGTATCGACCTACTGAGCTCTGCCTCAGCATAGGCGCACGCTTCCATGCCCGGCTAATTTTTAATTTTATTGTAGAGACGAGGTCTCTCCAAGTTGCCCGGGCTGGTCTTGAACCCACAGACTCAGGCAATCCACTTACCTTGGCCTCCCAAAGTGTTGGTATTACAGGCTGAGCCACCGAGCCCAGCTGAGGGCTGCATTCTTACCCAGCATAACCTCATAGGCATTCTTGATAGAAGATAGTAATGGCTTGTATGTTTTGAAGTCCTCTATGAAGAACTCAAAGATCTCTCTGTAAGGCTGACAAGAAAAGAGAAACCATTATCTCTTGCCCATAGCTGTCACCCTTAGTGAAGACCTATGTTTTCCTTTACAGGATTAGAAGTATTCTAGTATGAGGTTGTCTAGTCACCTACATTCAAATAAATGCCCCAGACACCATTTGTGTCCCTCACAGTGCCATGGAGCTGAGGGTCAGCTCTCTGGAGACCTGTCCTGGTGCTGTCTCCGAGACCTGGCAGACCATGACCATAGGCTAGACTTCCTACTGTGTGCCTGTCCCCCGCTCTGGCTCTCCAGGCAGCCAGCCAGCCTCTTGATTTCCAGACACTACATCAGTTGGCCTTTCACCTGTACCCTCTCCCCATTTTATTTTTTTATTTTTTATATATATTTTTGAATTAGAGTCTCACTCTGCTGCCCAGATTGGAGTGCAGTGACCGCTCCCGGACACCACAGCCTCGAACTGCTGGGCTCCGGCAATTCTTCCGCCTCAGCCTTCCAAGTAGCTGGAACTACAGGCGTGCGCTACCATGCCCAGCTAATTTTTTTTGATTTGTTGTAGAGATGAGGTCTTGCCAAGTTGCCCAGGTGGGTCTCGAACCCGCGGGCTCAGGCAATCCACTCACCTCAGCCTCCCAAAGCGCTGGGATTACAGGCTGAGCCACCGAGCCCAGCTCCCTCTCCCCATTTTAGAGTCCTGTAGGAGCAGAAGGAGATGGAAGACTCTAGCCTTGCATTCTGAGCTCTAAGTAGAGGTGTGGCCTCCTGTCCTATTTGGACACATAGGAGGGTTTTGGAGGCAGCATTGTTTACTGGTATGAGCACAGGCTCTAGAGTTAGCCCTAAGTTTGAACCCCAGTCCCATCACTTTATAGTGGCATGCCTTCTCCTAACTTTTGCTTCCTTATTGGTGAGGTACCTTCTGCTGGTAAGAATGTATGTAAGCCCAGGACCTGGCACACAGCAAGTGCTCAGCAAATGTTCCAGTCAGTGACTAAGTCAGAAGTTAAAGTCCCTGTCATCATCCCTATTTGAGCAGATTTGGTAATTCCCTCCCTAATATGACTGAAATCTGAGTTCCATCTGGATCTCTTTCTCTTTTTATGCCTGTGGGCTAGTTCCTAAAGCTTGGAGTTGTTGCCATTGGTCTGATGAACACTGTATGACCCCTGCTTACCCAACTACCAGGATTCAGGCTCTATACACTGATGTCCAGTGACCCAACCTGGCTGCTGATATCCCAGGGCTGAAGGGACTAGGCAGAGCATTCAGTCCACCTGACTCAGGAGTTTGGGTTCCATACTGCAGCCTTGCCTGCTCACTGGCTTTTTCATAGAACATGCTTCTCTTTGGGGAGAGCTGGGAGGTGTCAGTCTCCCCTGAAGGTCTAAGGTGCTCAGTCCTGGTAGGTAAGGCTCCTTTCCACACTTCTCCCTATCCCTCCCACATTTTTCTGTGGCTCTGACCTGCAGCCTCAGCTCCTGGTTAGAATCCGTACCCAGGTCCAGCAGGAGGAGCTCCTTGCGTAGGTAATTTTCCAGCTGCTCCAGGTACCTGGGCTTGCCAGTGCCAAAAGGCTGCTGCTGCCAGCTACTGCAGGGGATAGTAGGCTGATGTGTGACGAGCACCCCCACGTGGCCCTTGCACCCTCTGTATGGGCAGCACACATTTGTGCCCAATGCCTGGTCTACACCAGTCCACCCACCATTGAGCTGAACCTGACTTACCCTGCTCGCTTCTGGTAGGCATCTGAACAGGGTTTTCGATTTTGCAGAATGGTCTGGCCACTGGTGTATGTGGGCCATGGGGACAGGTGCCCATCCGTGGAGAACTGAAAAGACTACAGGAAGGGCAGGTGGGGTTACCATGGCAACATTGTTCCCCTTCCTAATTCCTCCTCCCTCGCTTCTGATTTTATTTTTAAACAAACACCTTGAAATATGGTTCATAATTAAGACTGTGGGTTCTTGAGTTAGAGAGAGCTCGGGTTAAGGTCCAAATCTCCTTTATAAGCTATGTGACCCAAGGCTTAACTTTTTTTTGGTTTGAGTTGAAGTCTCACTCTGTCACCCAGTGACAGTGGCACGCTCACAGCTACCTCAGCCTTTACCTGTCGGGCTCAGGTGATCCTTCTGCCTCAGACTTCCAAGTAGCTGGAACTACAGGCATGTGCCACCATACCTGGCTAATTTTTTGATTTATTGTAGAGCTGAGGTCTTGCCAAGTTGCCCAGGCTGGTCTCGAACTCGTGGGGTCACGCAATCCTCCCACCTCAGCCTCCCAAAGTGCTGGGATTATAGGTGTGAGCCACTGCGCCCAACCCTTCTTGATTTATTGTAGAGATGAGGTCTTACCAAGTTGCCAAAGCTGGTTTTGAACCCCTGGGCTCAGGCAATCTTACCTCTGCCTCCCAAAGTTCTGGGATTATAGGTGTGAAACACCGCGCCCAGCTTCAGACTTAACTTTTCTGAGCCTCAGTCTCCACATCTATAAAATGGAATGATGGTAGTTCCCATAGCACTGTGAATGATGTGAGGATGCAGTGTGAAAGCACAGTGTGTGGTTTACACAGACTCTGACACCTCCTAGGAACTCAGTAAAGGTGAGCTATTCTCTTCTGAAAGTATGTCAGTGAATATTGAATACCTGTGCTACAAAACAGATATAAGTATTGGTAGGGACTCAGCCCCTGCCCCCACAGCACAGATGAGCTAAAGACACAGAGACAGGAGGGCAAGCCCAGCCTCAAGATTGAACTGATGAACTGACAGACAGACTACAGAGACACAACAGGGTGAGCTGTGGACCCTGGGAGGAGACTGGGGGCTCAAGCAATCCACCTCAACCTCTGAGTAGCTGGGACTATACATGCAGACCACCGCATGTGGCTAATTTTTTTTTTTTTTTTTAGAGATGAGATCTTGTTATTTTGCCTAGGTTGGTCTCGAACTCCTAGGCTCAAGTGATCCTCCCACCTTAGTCTCCCAAAGTGTTGGGATTATAGGTGTGAGCTACTGTGCCCGGCCAACATAGCAGTTTTAAAGAACTATGAACAGCAGGGGCCCATGCCCAAGGAGAGCAGGCTAGCTGAAGTGGAGGCTGAGGCCTGGAGTGAGGAGTCTGAGCAGCTAGTACAGAAGGAGATAGAGATGCAATAACAGTTTTATACATAAGTAAGGTCCTTGAAGCCTACTTATGACTCTGGAAAAATCTGAAAACTCTTAAGAGTCTAAAAGTAGAATATTGCCTTGCAGCCATAAAATGTTTACAAACAGGCAAAACATGGAAATATACTACTGATACAGCGTTTTATTTTTTTTTTTTTGAGTCAGAGTCTCACTCTGTCACCCATGCTGAAGTGCAATGGCATGCTAACAGCCACCTCAGCGTCGACCTGTTGGGCCCAGTGATCCTTCCGCCTCAGTCCTTCAAGTAGCCAGAACTACAAGTGTGCATTACCACGCCTGGTTAATTTTTGATTTATTGTAGAGATGAGGTCTCACCAAGTTGCCAGGGCTGGTCTCGAACCAGTGGGCTCAGGCAATCCACTCGCCTTGGCCTCCCAAAGTCCAGGGATTACAGGCTGAGCCACCCAGCCCAGCCAGACACAGCTCTTAGTAATGCCTGAAATTAGGGAATAAGCACCTCAAGTAAAATGAAATACCCAAAAAGATGGAGGAAATAATCCAAAAGCCTATCAGCAATTATTATTCTCTAATGATAGGATCATGTGTGATTATTTTTGTATAATTGTATATTTTTCAAATTTTGTACAATAAGCATAAATCACCTTCAAATTTAAAAGAAAATTGAGACTGGACACGGTGACTCACACCTATAATACCAGCACTTTGGGAGGCCAAGGTGAGAGGATTGCCTGAGACCACAGGTTCAAGACCAGTCTGGACAACTTGGTGAGACCTCATCTCTACAAAAAATAAAAAAATTATCCAGGTGTGGTGGCACATGCCTATAGTTCCAGCTACTTGGAAGGCTGATGCGGAAGGATCACCTGAGCCCTGCAGGTTGAGGCAACGGTGGTCATGAGTGTGCCACTGCACTCTGGCATGGGAGAGAGTGTGAGACTCCAACTCAAAAAAAAAAAAGAAAAAATTGAATTACGGAATTATTTTAAAAGTCCCATCAGTGACCCTGAGCCAAGCCCCAGGTTCTTCTGGGCTGGAGAGGCCAGGCCTACCTTCTATGTCCCACACATTCAGGTTCTAGGAGCCCTTCCAGGCTAACGGAAACTGGCTCCTGACCTTCCTAGTGTGGAAAATGCTACTGTCTCCTTGAACTTTTCTTTGCATGGCCCTTTCTACTGCATTGTTTGTTCTGCACATGTTTTGTCTCAGTCTTTCGATCATGTGTTCAATCCTGAAATATTTATGAAAGGTATGTAGTTAGCTTTGTTGCTAGGTTCCAGAGAGGACTCAATCAAGCCTCTTTTTTTTTTTTTTTTTTTTTTTTGAGAGTTGGAGTCTCACTGTGTTGCCCAGACTGGAGTGCAGTGGCCGCTCCCAGCCACCGCAGCCTCGACTTGCTGGGCTCTGGTGATGTTTCTGCTCCAGCCTTCCAAGTAGCTGGAACTATAGGCACGCGCTACCATGCCCGGCTAATATTTTATTTATTGTAGAGATGAGGTCTCACCAAGTTGCCCAGGCGGGTCTTGAACCTACAGGCTCAGGCAATCCACTCACCTCAGCCTCCCAAAGGCGTGGGATTACAGGCTGAACCACCGAGCCTGGCTTATCAAGCCTCTTAAAGGGGCTCTGGGTTGACCTATCTCTGTACTTCCAGAACTTTTGGCATCATACTTCACATTCTTTGCAGTTTTAAGCAACATTTAGCAAATATTGTAGAATAAATATATGAGGGGGCACAATAATTTAACATGGATGAAAGGAATAATAAAACCAAAGCATTCATGCCACTGCACTCCAGCCTGGGCAACAGAGTGAGACTCCAACTAAAAAAAAAAAAAACAAAAACAAGTCGGGCTTGGTGGCTTAGCCTGTAATCCTGCACTTCAGGAGGCTGAGGTGAGTGGATTGCCTGAGCCCGCGGGTTCGAGACCCGCCTGGGCAACTTGGCGAGACCTCATCTTTACAACAAATCAAAAAAATTAGGCAGGTGTGGTAGCACGCGCCTGTAGTTCCAGCTACTTGGAAGGCTGAAGTAGAAGGATCACAGGAGCCCAGCAGGTCAAGGCTGCGGTGGCTGGGAGCGGCCACTGCACTCCAGTCTGGGTGACTGGGTGACAGAGTGAGACTCCAACTCAAAAAAAAAACACAAAAAACATAGAAAAAAAGCATTACTTATTGAGTGTATATGTTTGCATGTGTTTCTCCTGGGTTAAGAATGTCCTATCTGATAGCCTGTGCCTGTGGTTCTGGCTACTTGGAAGGCTGAGGCAGAAGGATCACCAGAGCCCAGCAGGTTGACACTGGGGTGACCATGAGTGTGCCACTGCACCCCAGCCTGGGTGACAGAGTTAGACTCCAGCTAAAAAAAATAAATAAATAAAGAATGCCCTATCCTAGCCAGGTGTTGTGGCTCATGCCTGTAATCCCAGCACTTTGGGAGGAGGAGAAT